TAATATATGAGGGTTGCCCTAAAAGTAATGTTACATTTGAACAGGAATAAGTGTGATTCTATCATGACTCTGTGTGTCATATGGCGCAACCATTCCTAGCCGTCACTTGGAACCGATGCCCCAAACTGCCTTTGCTTCTCCTGAGTGAGGCGAATCCCTCGTTCGCCACGACTACGCAGAAACCGTAGAGCAGGGGGGCCCCTCTGTCCAGTGGCGGAGGGTTGAAGGGCCTTGGTGCAAATAATGAAATGGGGGAGTCCCCTATCCACCAGCTCCTTGTCCCATTGAGGCCATGGGCCCACCGGGCGCAGTTGCACCGCCTGTCACACTCATCAACCACGTGACTATCTCTGTGCCCCCACCCCCCGGTGCCAGCCTGCTTCAGCATCACGGATCACGGCAGACTTGCTCTGGATCTAATTTCGTAAGTGTATTCTTCTGTTCCCCACTTTGAGCGAGGCTGACTTCGGAAGCCATCAAATCAAGTCGTGGGTGCGGTACACGTGGGTGGTGTTTGCAGCGTTCTCGCAGCACGAAGCTGTCGCGAAAAAAAGAGGCTACGTAAGGGTGGGGTGGGGGCGATGTTATTATGTAGCAGCAAGAGCCGCTGTGTCATCTACATCATTTGCTAGTTTTGAAACTACATGGCCGGTTTTTTTTTAAACACAAGGTGATGCTCACCGGACAAGCGAATGCATCCGCGGTTCGGGACCCCGGATGTTTGGAATCGGCAGACCCCATCCACCTGTTTGCACTTCATAAATGGCATTGGGTTCTGTAACGTGATCTTATTAGACCGCAAAATATCTGCTGGAAGTTTATAGAGCGACTAACTTACACAAGTTTTAGAAGTAAAAAAAATCACGAGTGTGCAGAATTCATCAATTTCGAAGTATGCGAGAAAGTATTTTTTCATCACCTATTGCAAATTCAAGTCAATCAACACTGTGTGACTGATTGCTCTCCATTATAGCTGACTTTTCAAGGTCCGAGACAGTTTTCTGGCGAGACCAAGTCATACGATAATTTATTTTCGCCAAATTGCAAACTCGCCGTCGGCTCTAACACACCACGCGGAATGCGTGCGCGGAAGAAGCTGCATTCGTTGTTTTGGCAGACTAACATGCTGCGTTCGCGCAAAAACGACCACATTCACTGAAATTTACTCCCAACGCAATCGCCCTGCCGCTTGTGAAACGCACTCCCCGAAGTGGCTGCACTTCTCCCGGCGGAACGACCCTTGGTGGCTGGCTGGGCTTAGGGGAGAGGCTGTGCAATGGGATGCAAGCATCTGACCTCACAAATCCATGTATGTCCCAGAGGTCGTAAACGGGTTTTGATTCCTTACCCGTACCCGTACCCGGCCGCACCAGGGTCGCAAATGGGTACCCGTACCCGGCCGGGTACGGGTAGCCGTTCCCTACCCGTACCCGTACCCTACCCGAAATGAGTGACAAACGGCTACTCACCAGTGACTCACGGCCTACCCGTACCCGTACCCGGCTGGGTACGGGTAGCCGGGTATCGGGTAGGGTATGGGTATCGGGTACCCGGTTGCGACCTCTGGTATGTCCCCCCCCATTCCCTCCCGTCCTCGTGTCGTGCTCCACATGTGGAATAGTGACATTCCACAAACCCGGAATATCGTGATTATTTACGTAATCGATGACTATAACACAAAGGTAGTTGATGGAGGGAACAAAAAAGCATCTCCTCCGTTCCCACATGTGCCACTGGACGGGAGGTCGCACGTCACGCTGGTGGCTTTTAGGGGATTTCCCGCCTTCGACAAGTAGCATGTGCGGGCAGCCGCCGTTTATTAAAGGGGCCCGAGTAATTGACCACATCTAAAGTAGTTAATAATTTGTATAGCTCATAATAATTTTTCAGCTGATCAATCGACTCAGCAGAGCACAGTGAGTGGGGAGGAGTGTCAAGGATATGCGGTAGCGTGGCGCTTAGCACAATTGTGATACGAATACGGTGGTCAGAGTTCGATTTCCAACCGTGGTGAACATCACCGGTTATTATCTGAACTGGTCCTGGCGCGGTTCAGATAATAAGTCGATTAATGTACGTATCATCATGGGACCTCCTTTGCCAGTACCAAAATATGAGAAGAGGTTTTCCCCTTGTAAAAGGTTTCAGTTTGATTTTGACAACTTAACACCTGTTTTATTGGCAGAAAAAAGGGGAAAAACCTATTCTCATGTACGTATGTTGAACTTCTTTCGCACCGTACGTAGTCAACCATGATAATCGGAGGTGCGAAAATACCAAAATAGCTTCTCAGCAGGGTTCAATAGTGCGGTCTGCCCGAGTGCAGGCCCTTTTGCCAGCAGCTGGGTGAACAATAATTTACAGGGCTGCACCATGATCGATATTAAGAATCGTAAGCATTGTCATTTTGATCAAATCTATTGCTTTATCGTCTTTAACGTGTGATTTTTTTTTACTTTTTCCGAAATATATCTAATTTTTGCTATCGTAGTAGGCGTGGTTTATGGACCTTTCATTTTGAAGACGTGAGCTTCTGTTATATTTTTAGCATAATTATTTTTCAGAGACCCTCCAGTTATTATTTGTCTAACTCTTAACAATGGTATTTGCCTGAAATGTTGTACACTTTTCCCAAGTACATTAGTTGGCAGATTGTCTAAAGGAAATGACATTAGGTATACGTGTCTGCAGTAGGCAGAGAGCGTTTACCTACAGTACATATACAGAACGTTTTGTCAATTGTTGGCTGAATGAGGGCCTCACCACGACTTGAGGATAGATTGACCATACTTCACCACGCTGGTCAATGCAGGTTGGTCGGTGAAGGTGTGGGGAGTTCAGGACAGTGGATCAGTGTACATACAAGTTTAAAGCAAAAACATTCATACGCAATTTCTTTTCCTCTCACGTGTCTTTATAAATATGAGCTTGCCAAAAAAGAGAATACATTTTTCTTATCTTTCAGTTGCAGTGAGGCAAATCGCATTTTATTAATTTTTTCCAAATGTTACATTATTTACTGCCTTGAAATTAAATAATTTTCCTGCCTCAGCGAATGTTTGTATGAAAAGCAAACGCATAAGTAGCTGTGTTTGCATTTCTGAAGGGAAATTATTTTTAACATACCAGATTTATGGGCCTAAATCCTAGTTTAATGTTTCGCGGTTGCATTTACCTCATAGATCAGGGCAACTTTCGACAAGCTTTCGACATAACTGAATGTTATCAAACTAGATTCGAAGCTTTCGTGACTGCATGAATTATTCATTGGTTCTTTCGGCAAAGTCACGTAGAAAAAAATTAAATAAAATAATAATCGAATACGCCGTTTCGATTGCAACACAAGTAACCATCATCAGGTACAAATGAATGAGAAAACAAACCTAGTAAACTTGTAAATAGAATGCAATACAACACAGAGAGTCGGCCAACACCACAGTCAACACCCCACCTGGTTGATTACGTTCTTCCAAAGATTGCTAAGTTTGAGAGAGAGACAAAACATAGACACGGAGACACACAGGCAGACACACAAGCAGAGAGAGACTCACACAGAGACAAACAGAGAGAGACGCACACAGAGACAGAGAGAGACACACACAGAGACACACAGAAAGACAACGTCTCTGTGTCGAGGCCTTAAATAGAGAGAGGGGGGGGGGTGGAATGTTAACAACAACGTTGTCTCATGCCACCGGGTGACGCATGTTTATCAATTGTATGGAAGCAATAGAGACATTTACAAAGTAAATTCCTCGTACACTTTAGAATAAGTGGCGGAGAGTACGTTTGTGATGTGTAACTTTAGTCCAGGTCATAGGAGAGTGCCCAGTTGGTAGATCACAAAAGGATGGAAGCTATCAAAATGTTTATGAACTTGAGACACCCACGAGCAGTGATCATTTAGCCAGGATTAAAATAATAAATAAAAATAAAAAAGAGTTGATTTGGTCTTGTATAAAGGTGTCAGTTTTTGTACCAGTTGAAAGGGTAAAAACCTATCACTATATTTTGCCACTGGTAAAGGAGGTCTCATAGTGTAAATGCTTACCCCGAGCTCTCAATACTCTGATAGTGCGCTGTTTTTGAGTTGTACGCCTTTTGGCGTCATCTGGTCCAACACCAATGGAGACTAGGCTCTAAGAAAAGCTGTCTCGGGTGTGGACCAATCAACTTCAAGGACAGTGCATATCATTATCAGAGTTGTTTTTTTTTGTTTGCATTTTGACTGCTTGTGCTGTGGTTATTGCAAACATGATGCCTTGTATAAAGGTGTCAGTTTTTGTACCAGTTGAAAGGGTAAATACCTATCACTGTTGATTTGGTATTTATCAGGTCAGGCCATCGGTAAACATATGTAGCCGTATTCTTTGGGTCTTTCAGTAATGCCACGTCCATAGAAATAAAAATACAAATAATATAAGATATAATAGTTGTGTGGAAACCCTCCCGGTAGAGACGGTTAAATCTTGACCAAACTTTCGTGACTGCAGGAATTCATATTATTTGGGTCTTTCGGTAAAGCCACGTAGATAGAAAATACAATATTTAATAGTCACGAAAGCTTTAAGTCAAGATTTAACCGCATCTACGGGGAGGGTTTCCACACAAATATTAGATTTTTTTTCCCATCTACATGGCTTTACCGAAAGACCCAAAATAATATGTAGCCGGTTACTAATTTTGGTCTTCCTCGGTGCTCTGCCATCTCCAATAACGTCAGGAGATGATCTTGAACCTGCGTCCATGTTCCTTCAGGCCACGTAGTGAACTGGGTCTCGTCATCTTCTTGGTTCTTTCGGTAAAGGCACGTAGAATGGAAACAATAAAATAATAAAAATAAAAATAATAAAATAATTCTCACGACGTTTCGGCCACAACGCAAGCAGCCGTCCTCAGGTGAAGACCAGGTCTGTCAGACGCTGTCTCCCCGACAGACCTGGTCTTCACCTGAGGACGGCTGCTTGCGTTCTGGCCAAAACGTCGTGAGAATGATTTTATTATGTTTTATTTTTATTATTGTATTATTTCCCTTCTACGTGACTTTACCGAAAGAACCAAGAAGATGAATCCCTGCAGTCACGAAAGCTTTAAATCGAAATGGGTCTCGTCAGTCAGTCGGTCGCGCTTTGGTGGTTGGTGGGCCAGTTCGTCGCCATCGTCACGCGTGATCGCGTTCGCCCCACTCGTCGTCATCGTCGACACCCCGAATGCGACCCTTCGGTAGCAGCGCGTCCGCGTGTTCAGCACGCGCCTCGAGACATCACAAACATGGGCGGCGAGTGGAGGTGGCGACAACGGCAATGAAACACTCGATAAACGTGTCACTGGCCAACTCTCAGAATGGCAATGGAACGAATGCAATGAAGCTCAAAGCAGGGGACTAAAGATAGGGTATCCTACTCTTTGCTTCTTTCGGTAAAGTCACGTAGGTAGAAAAATAAAGTAAAAAATAAAATATCACGACGTTTCAAATCCAGATCGGGTATCCTGTCTCCAATTAAAGTTGAACCCACTTAAATTTAGATTTAAAGCTTTCGTGACTGCAGGGATTCATCTTCTTGGTTATTTCGGTAAAGTCACGTAGAAGGGAAATGATAAAATAATAAAAATAAAACATAATAAAATGCAATTCTTACGACGTTTCGGCCACAACGCAAGCAGCCGTCCTCAGGTGAAGAACAGGTCTGTCGGAAAGACAGCGTCTGAATGAACACCACAAAGCTTGGCAGCGTATATTTAAGCTGGGTTTTAAAGATAACACTGTCCGTTGCGCGAACATTAATCCTTACCATAGCATTATCCCCGTGCCCTAACGTATAACGCGAACTTAGAGAAATACGACAAACTTAGCACAAATCATAGCAATAATTGTAGCACGAGCATGGGAGCTATCTCTCACACTGATGTTTGGCCAGGTGCTGCCGTTGCAGAGAGCTTGACTCACAGCCAGTAGGACGCAAGTTTTATTCAAGGTCGGTTGTCTTACTTAACTAATCCTCCAGGGTGGATAAAATAACGCACCATTTTCTGGGAAGCGAATAGGGGTTGTGATATTTGCCAGATGTCCCTCTGTCATAGGAATGTGGAATGGTTTATTATTGGTTCACGAGGGAAAGACTACCTAAACAGTGCGTGTTTGAGGATAGAGATACTTTGACTTTTGGACAAACATTTTACTTATTCCATCTGAAATAATAACATTGGATTTAACTGAAACGCAGCAATCGTGTTTATCCTGAAATTTGCTCACAGTTTCAACCAATCCAACTATACCGCTGACATTAAACCTATTCCTAACACGATTTTTTTTATCATCGCCATCATCATTGTCCATTGTCTCTACACCGATCGAAGGTTTCCCCAAGCAATCGCTGTCTATCATCGTTTCGTGATGCAACAATCCATGGAGAAAACTGACCATGAGCTGATTTTATCACTCCATGGTGGACGCCTTCTCGGCTAACCATTACCCTAACACTATTCCTAACTTATAACAACAACACTTAACAACAACAACTTTGCCACGACTGAAACATTAATCTTCAACACAATACAAAAAACGCAAAGTGATGCTATCGCTTATCTTTGTGCACACTTATACTGCATTAACATTAACCCGAGCCCAAGTTGGTCAGTGGCTGCTGCCAGCTCTTACAAGGAGTATTGGCCGAGTGGAAGAGTAGGCCAAAACAAAAAAAACCCTCCAGAGGGACACTCTCCAGAGCTCGAAGTGCAGCCCCTTCCTCCAGCAGTGGAATGAGCAATACATTTTAGATCCCTCACACCTACCCACTGCAATAACCCTAACACTGTCCTAACATGAACCGTGATCCCCAGCTCCTTAAACCCCCCAATCCTTTTCTTAACACATTAAACCCGCGCTGTGTGAAAGTCGTGCGAAACAAAATCCTTTAAATATAATTGTGGCGGTTGCGGTCCCTCCACCCATTTGGAGCTTCGTGGGGGGGTTTTAATATCTGCAGCGCTGCACCGCGGCCAATGTCACTTTAGTAATAAAAGTGCGCAATGACTCTTCCTCTTCTTACTCCTCCTCCCTCTTCGCAAAGACCCCCAACCGCCATCGCAAGCGAAGCCTCGCGCGACGAGGACATCACACGGTTACCGCGAGACTTGCGACTGGAATCGTCGTTTCAACCATTGCCTGCAAGCGTATTGTTAATTAGCGAACCCCAGTAAGATGACATTTATTTTGGCGTCTTATTTTTATAGAGGTCGATTCTTTCACAGATAGCACGCTCATAATTAAAGGGAGTTGTGGATATGTTCCAGATTTGATGGTTAACTAATAGCGAAAAAAATATCCCCAAATCAGAGCTTGACATGAAATTTAAGACGATCCAATAAAAACGTTTTGTGGCTTATTCCTAAGAGAGAAGCGGCGTTGCTAATATGACGTTGCTTCGAGCGACGCCACTTTTGTGAGCCTCAAGACACACAACTAAGTAACAATGTAAATTATAGTTTTTGGTTCTTTAAATGTAAATGATCAGAAATACTATATTTAAAATCTAAAAAAATGCATCCTAAATTTTACTGGAAAAAAATCTCCATACTTAATTTTCTTCTTACAAAAAGGGGGAGATATTACATTAAAAAACACGACCTTTCATTTAAAGCCACGACACATCTTCCACCAATCTCAATGCACTCATTCAATCTTTTAACAATCTTCTCAATAAGAGATTGTGCCATCGCGTTCACAATATCCAATCACCTACGGAGAATAAAGAGAGGATCATGGTGAAATCAGTCGGCTACCTACAAATATGGTTATGGCGTGATCACTATATTTATCGCTATATTTGCAAATATGGTTGGCTGCTCTTGGTCACAAAAAACATATTACTAATCCTGCAATTCCTAAGGCATTTTTGTCGTCTAAAGCGATCGGCTTTGAATATTGAACTGCAGCGTTGTTCTTTCTGTAAATAGACCCGCTACCTGCCCGCTTATAGCCGACGTTCTCTATCCACTGCTGCATGCTCTTGTGTTCCGCAAGTCTGTGCTGCAAATTAATCTGCGCTGAGCAGCACGGGGAATATTCTTCCTTGCCGGCCGTGTGTATCCGTGCGTTCTAGAGCCTTTTTAAAACGCTCTCGCCCCCTGTTATATTCCTCCCCCCGCCCCCCCTCTCAACACCCCCCGCTGCAAAGTGTCTATCACTGGGCACTAATTGTTTTGTAACTTTCATTTTCACGCAACGGACAAAAAAAAAACACTGAAAAAAATGACCACGGTGAGCTGTGTGCGTGGATGTCTGCTGAAAAGGCGTGTGCGTGGATGTCTGCTGAATGACTGGAAGCGAGATGTCTTGCTGCCTGAGCTGGTAAACACTATACTGGCATGGCAATGTAGAATATGGACGGCACAGAAGAATAGCTTAGCTTAGAAAAAGTTAAGACCCGAGCTGTTTACATCGGTTTATGATGCACACCATTCTCAAAGGATACGCAAATCAATCGCAATACGATACGATGAAGAGACATCGAAACATCTGTCTGGAATTGTCCGTGGAATTTAACAACTCGCATGACAGTAAGAAGAAGAAGATTGAAACCACACATATAGAATCTGCTGAGCTCATTTGAAAGCAAACAAGTGTCCAATGTCAAAAGTCGTTAAAAATGTAAGATGATGACAAATGAAGGTGATGACAAGAGCGCCCAATGGCATCGGGAATATTTTGAGAAATGAAAAACACCTCGGGACGGAAGAAGAGAAAAATGGAGAGTCAACAAAAATAAATGAAATCCTCGTGAAGAACACGGTCGCATCTGCAAGCCCTTTACTCGTACGGAATGTACAGTGCCACTTTTCGTTTGTTCAAGGAGTCATTTCTTTTTTGTACCGAGCCTCTTGAAGAAGGCCTTTGGGGATGACACCAGGCTTGGCTGCAAGGAGGAGGATCGTCATGGCGATGGGAGGGAGGCTGGGGAGCTTGATGATGGCAGCGCGCAGATGTTGCTGGAGGTGAGAATCGGTCACCGGAGAGATGGCGATTGGTTACGATGCGGGTTGCTACATTACAAGGGCGGCGTGCGGGGTTGGTGGCTACGGTGGATTGAAAATGATGGAAGAAGCTGCGGCGGTGGTGGTGGTGGCGGTGACGGTGGTCGTGGAAAGACGAGTTCACGTTGTGGTGAGTTGTACACCCCGTTGTTTTTTTAACATTTGTTTTGTTGAGTCTTTAATTGTGGAAAGATATACCCGACCTTTTTCGCTAATGGGTATTCTGATATTTCCATTACCCATTGTGCTACATAACGGCTACACACAAGTTCAATTTATCTAGATCACACGAGTTCAATCAGTGACCCACACCCACTCGCAATAATGAGTAACTCAATTAGGTTTGGACTGTTTTCATTTGTTGAATACTCAGTTTTCATGAAGGAACAATCTGAGGTAATTAGTACACTTAGCAAAGGGATGATTAATGGGATACAGTATGAAAAAAATGTACGCACTGAAAAAAACCCAATTAAACTTTAAATGTAAATATATGTACCTAAACACATACTCTTTGGTTCTTTCGGTAAAGTCACGTAGGTAGAAAAAAAAATATATCACGACTTTACCGAAAGAACCAAAGAGTATGGATTCCTGCAGTCACGAAAGCTTCAAATCAAGATTGAACTACCTAAACACACTTTGGGTGTGTTTCTGTAGTGGCTGGTATCGCCTAACTCTTATATCTCTTTTCCACCACAATCGAGCCGTGCTTGGGGTCGTGCCGAGCCAGCCTGGCAGGGTTCAAGAGGCGCCAAGTCGTTGTTTTTTTCCTACTGCAGAACTCGACCTGTGCCTCAAACGTCACCTTAGTTCAGTCGCATGTAGATGCAACGTAAGACAAAAATCCTGAGCCTGACGCCAACCACTGCTCGGCCTCGAGCCTCACGTCGATGCGTTGTGAGGCCAGAGTATCACGGTTTGGTTCTGGCCCAGCTTGCCAAATGACCAATGGAAAAACAACCCGTGCCGTGAGGGCCCCGTGCTGGCACGGCTCGGATGTGCTCAGTGAAACTGGAATATTGGTGAACTATTGACAACATGTTCAAGGAGTCGAGGGTTCATGGTCTGATCGAGCCACTGTTTAATTGATGCAGGGTGTGTCATGCCTATTATTTAAAGCAATGCTGTCTACTGTGAAGTGGACATCGAAAACTCGTTGGCATCTTCATTTGGGAGATTAAGGCAAATGCAATTGGAAACATTTACTGCACCTAAGAAAAGACGGATATTTTATTTAACCATCATGAACAAGGTGACCCCCTTGGGAAGGAGATTATTACGAGTGGAACAATTTAATTCCTGCGATAAATAATAAATTCCATAAATTGTCACGATTCAGGGTAGCGATTATATTGAATAATTAATTCCATTTAACAATGTGTTAAGTTTAGCGGCCTCTGGTGGCTGCAGGGGTCACGTGAGCCCATTACATACAACATATACAGATGAAAAGTAATCGATTCTCATACTCGCATGTATTGTGAATGAAAAAATCTATTTTAATCGACGGATTTTTACACGACTCGTGATTATGCGTTTCAAAGCACTCTCACCTTATTATAAAAATAAAATATTATGGTTAAATAATAAATATCGCAGGCTACAACCACCCATGAATAAAGCAGGTGTTAAAGTGTTCTGAGCTGAACGTCTCGGCCTAGTCACCAATGACTGCACAAAATGCAATGTACAATTATGCTTCATAATTGCAATCAGTGCACCATAATTAATGCCTTAATGGGCTTCATTGTTCTGTGTGGTTAGAGTCGTGTGAAATGACTGGGATGTGGTGGCGTGTAAATAAGGTTGCCACCTGCCCTGGTTTTCCCAAGAGCGTTCCTCTCGTTGGGGCAGCTGTCCTGGGCAATCTGCAAAGTCTTCCCGTGACATTTTTCGTCCAGGATTGTGTCAGTTGCATAATCGAGCAATAATCCACCGCTCAAGACAAAACATCCGCATGTAGTTCTCTCCCCTTCTGGCATTGTGAGAAATTTATTTTCCCACGATACATCTAGATTTTTTCATATCTCAGAGTTGGCAGCCCTACGTGCGAACAAAGAGCAAACGTGATTGACTCACCGCTGCACCAAAATTTAATAAAAATGTGACAGTGGGAAAAGGGCATGGAGCAGGGATTATTATTTCCAAACATTGTGGATTGAGGCCTGCATTGACTAGCATTGAACACATATGTCTAAATAACAATACAAATCAAGAGATAATCGAGATATGTATTCATTATAGAGATGTGAGAAAGAGATGAGAAACGCGTTTGGAAGTGATAGAAGTTGGAGATGAGAAATACGAGAGATGTAGTCAAACAGCTGGAAAGAAAGAGAACAGAGATGACATCAATGTAGATTATACAGAGGACGTTTCAGAGGTAGAAAGGAGATGTGATATAAACGTACATCGATAAAAGAAAGTACAGTATTTCTCTACTAACAGAAGGTGCACTATAACACATTTGCCAGGGCTGCACCCCCAACGCGTCACGTAACTACGACATCTAAATGCTGACTCACGTGGTTAACTTCATTCAATTTCAAATCCACTGCGGATCGTATTTAACAGTAAATTTGAATGATGCCACGGGCCACGTTAAATGAGCCGTCTGGGATCGAGATTTGCCCCCCACCACTCACCCTGCCACCCCCTCCCGGTTCCTCCGTTCTGGTCCTGGCACACACAGGACAACAGCAGTCACTCCATTGGAACCTCATTTGCCAGAAGAAAAAATATGATAATTGGTTTTTTACCCTTTTATCTGGCAACAAAACTGACATCTTTTTTTACAAGGAGTCATGTTTGCATAGACCACAATACCTGCAGTCATAATGCAAACAAAAACATAACTCTGATAATGTATGCACTGTCCTTGAATTTGATTGGTCCACACCCGAGACAGCTTTCCTTAGAGCCTAGTCTCACATGGTGTTGGACCAGATGACGCCAAAAGGCGCACAACTCAAAGACAATGCACCATCAGAGTATGAGAGCTCGGGGTAAGCATTTAAACCATTGGAACCTCAAGAACAGTGCATACATTATCAGAGTTATGTTTTTTGTTTGCATTATGACTGCAGGTATTGTGGTCTATGCAAACATGACTCCTTGTAAAAAAAGGTGCCAGTTTTGTTGCCAGATAAAAGGGTAAAAAAAACAATTATCAACAGCAGTCACTATTAACAGAGTTGTAAGGACCAAGCACAGATCAGCAAGGCCACATATAATAGTGACCACAAGACCGAGCAAAACAAAAAAAATAAAAAAAAATCCTGCTAGCGGACAAAGGGAAATGAAAGCAAAGGAGGATTTGCTCATGGTTGCATCTGCAAAAACAACGATTGTTGTTGTCAGCCCGTAACTTCCCACTGATGGGCAAACCGCCCCAAATTTTCTTCTATTTCCTCAGTTGCTCCTGTCCAAAAGTGGTCTCTGAATGCTTTGGCGTCATCTCGCTCCGTCATTAGTTTCGCCTCTCAGCTCTCGTCAGCTGTTCTCATGATGCGTCCTGTCCATTTTCGATTGATTTATTATGCTTTAACAGCAGCAACATCCGTGACCCCTGTCATTTTTTCCTTATTTATTAATTCCTCAACCTACCTCTACGACCTACTCCTAACATACTTCATACGAAAGACAACATTTGAATATTGTTCGTAAAACATGGCAAGCAAGCAAACACAAAAAACCCACTCTCATCACCCATCCATCTAAACCCAGTGGGGCTGTAAACCATCTCCAAAACCCGAGGCTGTAAACGTCAAAATTCCACAGGGACCCGATCGTCGCAGGGCAAAACATTGACGGTGTTCGGTCCGCGCGTCCCCCGGGTACAAATTGATGGAGTAGGGGGGGGACCAGAGTGACTGAACAGGGAGGTCAGTCACATTTCAGTGGCTGCAGAGTGATCGCGTAAAAGATGCACGAAGCGCAGAGACTGGAGCGTGAAACCCCTTCTGCCTCTTGGCCGCTAACGGGCGCCCAGTGTCAATCGCCCGACCATTATGAACCGGCCGTCCAGAAAGCCTTTGTTAGGCAGGTTCGGAAAGCCGACACGGCCCCCCGGTGCGCCCCGATACAAGATCTCAAGAACGGACACATTTGGCGATTGTTCTATGGATGATATTTTGTATTTGGCATTTTTTTTTTACATTGTAAAAATTAAAAAAGGTTAATTGTCGTAAATTTTAACATGTTGGTAGGCCAAGTATGGCGATCGCATTAAGAGAGTTTGCTAAGTGATTGCAGATGTTGTTCTGTTAGCAGCCCTACCACGACACGATGGCTCTTTCCTGATGGATACCTGAGATAATAAGCTCATATTTTATTTAATCCCAGTTGAAATATCAGTGATCCAAATATTTGAGAAGAGATCAGTGGCTTTAATGAATTACAAAAAAAAGCCAATGTGCTCCTTTGCTCAAATAAACATTGAGCGGTACTCAACTTGATCTCGAACCAGTGTTATTTTCCACATTCATATGGAAAGTACTAAACAACAACAAAAATCTATCTATAACACACGCTAAAAATAACAACCAGATTACATTTGGTTTCTACACTTTATTTGGATAAATTACAGCTCTGAAAATAAAAACATCAGGTTAATTGTCATGTGACAAACATCATTGTAGATAAGCCAATAATGATACAAACCACTGGATCTATACCCGTATCTAATATCCTGGCGAGACTATATCAGAGCACAACACCAAACGTCAGAGGATGTCCTGGTTGAGATTGCTCTCTCGGGCAAAAATTAAGTTACGATGGCTATTTATGTCCCCCCCATTTTTCTTTCTTTACAGCTGGTCAATCAACACGATGCCCCCACGCATTTCCAACCGCAATGGAGCCGACACATCAGCGAAGGACGTGGCCCCAGCCATCATCGGGATCCACCTCGACCCGCGTCACCCGAAGGGCACGGTCTGAGGTAGAGGCCACAGAAGAAGCAGAATAGATCGGCAGTGGCACAGTGGCAATAAAACCCATACCTCGTGCCGGTAACATTCCCAAGTTTGTTCCCTCAAGCCGCTGCTCGGCCTGTCCTAGTCAAGCACAGAATATAATGGTGGTTCAATATTTTTTTTTCTTTTAATTTCCAAATTTCTGAGCTCTCCCTGGTGCCCGTACTCTCCTCCCACACGCTCCCGTTCATCGCCATGAAGGTGGCATTGGATATGAGCAAGGGTGGAGTTGGTCCTCAAGGACGAGGCTCAGCTATCTATAGCTTTTGTGGACTTCTCACGGGAATGTGAACAACCCACAGGATTCTCCTTGGCCTTTGCACGTGAAGGGGCATTTGTTAATTATCTACGTTGCAGGGAAAAAAAGCGAGAATGCTACTGCAGTGAAACAATATATGTGCGCGCGCGTGTGTTTGCGGTGTTCGAGTGAATATATACAAGGTATATACCAGAAGCGTTTATCAAAGTCCATCATGCTAACATGTGTGCAGACTGCAACTGCCTCTGCCCATCGATTGGCAGTCCCACCGTGGCGATGTAACAGCGTCCGCTTGTAGGCACGCGGAGGCACTCGGTGCTGGCCATAAACAAGATGGGTGAAGTGGATGTGTTGTTCAAGCAGAAATGTGTGTGTAAATCTCTACGGCTGCTGAGATTCACGGCAGACGGCCTGCTCTATGAGGGCACACGTGTGAAAGCGATGTTGGGAAAGCACATCAAGAAAATTCTGTGAAATAAATAATGCCAATAAGACTGGGAACTGTAGGCCACAAACGCTAGCCACCTCCACAGATGCACAGACAGATGAACACATAATTCAGGCCATCCTCCTCGACAGATGCGGATCGCTGATGCACACATTGTAAATGATAAACTCTCCAGTCGTGTGCGACTGTGGTCATCCCGAACAGAGAGCGTACAACGTATAACCACGCAACGACCCGATCCACAAAATACACTCCTCCTGAACGCAGTTATCCGGCTTGACCGCCTGAATGTGAAATTGTAGTTGTTGCTCTGCATCTACTACATCAGCAGCCATACGAAAGAAGAAGACGGCCGTCCTCCTCACGTTATAGGCAGAGTAGAGAGGCCCATTGTAGATTGGTGTGAAATTGGAAAGGCACAGGGTGTGTAACACGATTGGTGCAACACGATGTGATTCGTTTGTCAATGCAATAGATGGAATTATAACCATGATGTATTCAATTTGGTGTTATGATTACAGCAGTTTATCAATCGGGCAGGAAGGGTGACTAACTACTACACTTTGTGGGATGCGTGTCTACTGTCAAATTGTGCTTAAAAGCACTTTGATCAATACCTTCAATGCATTTTTAAGTTTACAAAAATACTTTGCGAACATATATACGTTTCTGTTATTGGAGAGGAAGAAACTTTGATTTGTATCCATTTTCTTCAAGGTAACTTTTAAAACACTCTACCTTGAAGATAATGGATGCTGCCGCAGTGTTGTGATGGTCAGCACGCTGGGCCTGCAATCCAGAGGTCGCCGGTTCACGCCAACGCCACGGCCCTTGAAACAGTGGCGCGAAAATAATTGCCCATCTCTGGCTTCTGTCCCCCAAGCAGTATAAATGGGCTCGCCACGGGTACTCGATTGTAAGGTCACGTGAGGTACGGTAAAAGTCTGCATACTCGCGCCTCTTCCAATGTGTCTGGCCGGCGTGGAGAAGTAGGCCAAAACTATCCTCTCTAGAGGGAGCTCTGTAGAGAGTTCTAAAGAGCGCTCTGCCTCTATCAGTGTACGAGCAATACATTGCAGGCCCGGACCTCTTTCGCTTACCTTCAAGGAATCATCCCGGCTTCAACATTGATTTATTCCTTTCCATTGGTGGGGATTTTTTTTTTAATGTTTACTTTTACACGTGTATAATATACACACATCTCCATAGTCACATGGGGCAATCACAATGTTTTTAGAATGGGATTCTGAAACAAATCAGGTTGGCGTCACGTGACACGATTTCTCTCTCATCCACCGGTTTGGCATTAGTCTCAGTCGTGCTTCGTGATGCCACGTGGAGAGTTCCACAGAGGGGGCAACCTCACAGTCAAAATATAAACGCCACCCGATTCATAAACATGGGCTTCCATATTGCGGGTAGTCATCTGCAGCTTGTTTACGAAACAAAACAAGTGGTGGGACACAGACGAGTCTGAATTGCGCCGTCAACCACCGCAGCAGCGCAGACGGAAGAGTCGGTCAGAGTACGTCATGAAATGCCACGACATCGCAATTATCCACCCCCCCCCCCCCTTATCAAGAAAGAGTGTAAAGATGATTTCTATCAATGACAGTTCTAATTGGTTTACATACCGGGGCCAAGGACAAAATCAATGTCATGATTACACGAATGATTCCAGATTTAAAATCGGTCGCATTCCGGGATGCTTTGGTCGCGGGCGTGATGCAAGAAGGTCACCCACATCTTGAACGTATCGACAATGTACTGTACGACAAAGGCACCTGTACCAGATTCATTTAATAAGCCCTCTCTTTTTTTAAATGGAAAAACGTTGATGAGCCACGGCGTATATTTTAGAATATCCCAAAAAAACTGCCTCATTTGCTAAGTAGAATCTTCTTTGCAACCCAATTTTTTATAAGTGGGTTGCAAGTGGGTGTCCAGGTGGAGAGATCTTATCTGCTTCGCCTGGTTTACAGGAGGTTGTGTGTTCAACCACAACCCTGACGCATGTATGTTTGGAGTTTGCATGTTCTCCCCGTGGTCGCGTGGATTCTTCTCCATGTCCTCCGGTTGTCCCATCGTCCTTTAGAAACATATGTTTAGAAAATTTGGCTGCTATACATTTCCACATAAGGCACTTCGTTCAGCTATCATTTGTGGCCAGGTCGCTTCTGAAAAAGAGCTATAAAGCTCAGTGGGTCTTAGCTGGTAAAATAAAAAATAGTTTAGTTTAAAATTTCCTGATAGATGGTCGCACAATTAACTTGATAATTTACTTTTTTGTCTTCATCCACTTAACCTGCCTGATGTAAACAATACGCCGACTTAATGGATTATCACGTTTTTCCAGGATACTTCCTCATAAGGGGGTTTGCCAACTCCGATCACGGGCAGATGAATATCTCACAATGCCCGGAAGAGGGGCGGAACTGCATGTAAATGCATCATCTTGTTGTTGAACAAACGACAAAAAAACCTGGAACTTTTAATGTCCCGGAAAGACTTGCAGATTTCCCAGGAGGGCAGCTACCAACTAAAAGAGGACAATCCTGGGAAAACCAGGACAGGTGGCAATATTACCGTCATATGATCGTTTTTTTGTGCACTAATCGGTGACTAGGCTGAGATCATTGCCTCGCGAGGCATGATAATCTAATAATTGGTTTGGAGCTCTGACATGGCCTTCACAAACTCCCCGAGTCATCTGGTTCTGAAGCCCCCCGCCCCTCCACCTGTATGTACAAATCAAGTGCCACAACATTACACGAGGTAGAATAAGCATGCGGTGACTATTGGCAAAGTTCCAGGAGTGAGCTGGTACATGGAGTGATGTACTTTTATTATCCCGTTCTCAAAACCATTCTGATTCCCCCCCTGTAGAAAATGATTAAAACCATGGCATGCGTAGTATACGGTATACGCTATCAGATTGTGCACCGGTGGTGCGGTTGGTAATTAATTCGTTGAAACTTAACGCAAACTATTTGAGAATCAAAAGAATCGGGTGGCGGACAAGGAACTCAAGTTCGTCATCACTGTCCTCGTCGTACATTCAACAAGCCGAGCGATGACCATGGATGGCGTTCGCTGGACCGGGAAAATTCACCGACTCGAATCAGCAGCATCTGAAAAGAATGTCCTAAACTGAAAATGTGAAGATGACAAAATCATCGTTTGATGAGATACACGCGCTTTCACACAATATGCCGTAGGACTGTTGGGTGGGTATGTGGGGGGGGGGGGGGGTCGATTATTGATGAAATTGTGAAACTGTCATCGCAGTGTGGAAAAGTACAGACAGTGAACATACTCGAGAGGCAGACACCCGCAGCGGGGACCGTCAGTCGATATTCTCGTCTCGTACACCTTCAGTACGCAGATTTCGTGGCCGCAGAGTTCGCCATGCGGACATCTCTCCATCTTTATCTCTCTCTCCGTGATCTCAGCTGCCGAGCGAGAGATGGACGGCGCTCAGTTTTTAAGCAACGTTGCATGCCCTCTTTTGTGAACGGCTCAAACTTGAATTCATTTATCGCCTTTATTTATCATTCATAAGCAGGGATTGTTGCCTTCTTGAAAAAAATAACTGTCGTGCTTTTTTTTTTAAAAGTCGAACTTTTTTTGCGTTTATCCACCCCAGCCTACGGTGTTGCTGGAGGACGGGGAGATAAAAAAAATTAATGAATGTGTCATTTATTTAATGTAACTTACGATTTTTGTTGTTGTTGTTGTTGCCGTCTTACTTTCGTTGCGAGAAATTTTCCTCGCCGTTTTCTTGCCTTTTTTCACGGCCACCGGGCCGCCTAATGTCGTGCTCTGCTTCGCCAAAAGGCCAAGCTTGGTCGGTTTTTTTCACGCGCGTACGCGCGGCCCCACGACTCCACGCAGCATGAATGAGCGCGCCGCCAGGGCCAGTCACGGCCGTCGACTTCACTCGCACGCGCGGCGACCGTCTCCTGCCACGCGACCTCTCGTTGACCCGGCCACCGCGGACTCGTGGCCAAAAAAAATCGGCCATCGTTCGTCCGTCGTGGCTGAGATTTTTTTGAAAAAAGGGGAAACGCCGACTGGTCGTCGCGAGCAAAGCTACGGCACGCGCAACGCTGCCCCTTTACACTTTTGAGCTCACTTTAATACGCGAGACAAAACATGCGGTAATTCTGTGATGAGACGCCATATCAGTGTCACTGTATTTTGTAAAGCAGACCCGGGGCTCGAGACAAAGGACTGCGTTGGTTTTCAAGGTCGCGCTGTACAGCTCCCGGCGATGTCCGTTTTCCGGTTGCACCGCCGCGTGTTGTCCGGCGCCAAGTCCGACGTTTCGCGCCGCGCGCATCGAGACGGGAAAGGAGCTGCCAGCACGCGTGGGGCGAGACGTGAGACGTAATGCCGTACAAGACGCGGCTCAAACCCGAAAAACGCACATCTGAGAGCTAAGGATGGTTTATTTTAAAATGAGCAGTGCGCGGGGTTCAAAGTTGATATTTGGGCTGTGACTTTCGCACAATGGTCTACACGCACAGAGTGGCACCACGGTGTCTTTGGCATCGGCGGGTGCTCCAGTTGGGTTCGTTGTAATAGAATTGACTTTCGGGGTATACCCAGCCACCTGATTGCAAACATGTTTTCCCCAATTATTTTAAAGACTTGTGTCGCACTGAATGTGATTAATTGAGAATCAGATTAGAGCGGTAATTTTTTCTTATAAAGTACATTTATTCCAGATGCAGTCACGCCAATTTGCCACACTTAGTATTGGTGATGAATGATGAAGCAGAAATAGATTAGTACGCACGCATCTCTTTCAAGAGAGGCTGGGGAAATATTGTAAAAATATTAATTACAAGAAAACATTTAAAACTTCGTAAGATGCGTAATAACCGCGAAAAGGCAAATCGCTGTGAAATCAGCACGAAACACAAGACGCTTTCAAACGCGTTACAATTTGACAGTGGAATTGAACTCATTTACATGGAGATAATTATATATACACAAACTTCAAGAGTTAACCAATGTACAGTTGTGCAAAAGATAAAATATATATGTATGATTTGAACTCGAGGGCTGTGGGGGATTGTGGTAGACAATGAGTGATTTACCCAAACAGAATGATGTTTTGTTCATTTGAAGTGGCCACATAGCCACAAGCTTTGTGCATGCCTTCTGTAAATCTGGCAATTTTTAGTAAAAAAAAAAGAAAAAAGAATTAAAATGTAAAAAAAAGAATCACAAGGCTATAGTATTTATATTATATACAATGTCTGCAGAAGCTACGGACACTTTTACCAGCATTCACGATGTTTTGCCCAGTATTGTTAAAGTGTGTGTTTTCATGTAAAACTAAAAAAAATTACATTATTACTCTAATTGATAACAACGATAATTATGATATTGTTTAAGTTTACTTTGCAAAAAATTTTGCATGTGAATTGAGACATAAACTATGCAGATAGATAAGCAAATGTGGATGTTATTTCACTCATTAATGATGACGTGACCGCCTTCTCGTCTGTGTCGTGTGTGATTTACTGCACACTGTCGCGAAATTCATTTGGATTGCCGAGGTCATCGTGGGAACTCCCCAACGCACCTTGCATGAATTTAAAGTCATGCGAATGTCGCCTATTCCCCATCTCATCAGATTCTTCGGGGCTAAGCAGGGTGCTGAGCCCCGATGTTTATTTTTTTTTTATAATTTTCTGCAGGCTGCTGCCTGGGGCCCGTGTTGTGGACATCGGATGACAGTGCAACAAAAGTAATCCGAATCAGAATCAACATATTTGCTTATACTGGAGGAATACAATGAGCTCCAAAAGTACTTTTCCCAAATGTCCAGGCAGTTTTGCTGAACCGTACTACGTTAGCAAACGTGTATGCCACCCCACCTTCGCCAAACCGCTCTGGCCAGAGTGTCAAAGAATCATAAAAAAAAAACACCGTGATCCGTACGATGTAGGGGCACCCTCATCCGGTGGTGGATTGCCAATTGGGCTGTACATGGGCATACAAATGTATGTGTGTGTATGTTGAACTTCTTTCGCACCGTACTTAGTCAACCGTGCTAATCGGATGTGCACATGTCAATCAAGCCAAAATCTGTAAATCTCAGATGTGGAATAATCAGAATGAAGAGAATTTTTTTTGTTAGTTCAAGTCATTGGTAACCGGACTGCATCAATCGACTCACTTCAACTTGAGAACACCGTTTTTAAGTTGTGGGTGGTTTGCCTGGATTTGAACCCAGAATTTCAGTGGTGGAGGCTCATGTACTGTGATGGGGCATTACGGTAGTCCACTGAGGCAGCTGGTCACCTCAACAAATCCTTACTATTTTGATCAGTCTAAAAATGGGTCCGACAAACGCAACGAGGTGATTCCACACACAAGACACCACCCCACCCCTCCAAGTCACTCTTCAGTGATTGTGTTTATATTGGATACAATTGAGTATCCTCTTACTGTAATGGACTGAGAGTCAGATTAGTAACTCAACGCGACAGAAACGCGAGCTCAAATCTATACTTTGGTGTATGGAAGGATACCGCGTTTAAAATTAAATATGAAATATATTTTTGGCCACCGACACCACTTCACACCACCCTCCACCGCTCTCGACGAGCAGAGTCGACTGCTGTGAATTGGGTTATTTCGTTTCCAGTCATTGTCTGCACCGTTTCGAAACAGCCACTGCTCCGACGGGATTTCAATTTCAATGTACGTTTCAGGAAGGGAAGGCTTTAGTTATTTTATTTTTCCGAGCACAGGCCCACAGAGGCCCAGTGCACATCCGCTTTAGAGGGAGCGACAATTCAGCGGGGTTTAAACGTCGAAGAGAATTGCAACAATTCTCGCAACAATCGTTATTTGAATTTGGGAAGGGAGATAAAAAAAATTCACCCGGACATTTCAGATACAAAGTCAGCGTCTTCTTGGTTCTTTCGGTAAAGTCACGTAGAATGTAAATAATAAAGTAATAAAAATAAAACATAATAAAATAATTCTCATGACGTTTTGGCCACAACGCAAGCAGCCGTCCTCAGGTGGAGAGCAGGTCTGTCGAGTAGACAGAGTCTGTCTACTCGTCACGAAAGCTTTAAATCGAAATTTAAAAGTCAGCGTCGTTGACATCAGTTTACTTAGTGCAACGTCTATAGAGTACTTGGTGTAACATCTGGCTGTTAATTCAGAAATGCCACGTGTAAAGCTGTCGGGCCCCACCGGGACTCGACAACTCAAACGTGGTTTCTCTGGAGACTGGGTACTGCCAGTGGAGCCGGGAATTCCACCACAGCCTCTGGCTCAATAGCAGAGGTGAGCACACGCCACCCGATTCTTGTTTGGGCATTGAATTTACTCGCTTATCATGGACGACATCACAATTTGGTTGTACGTGTGTAATGACGACTTGACACGCTTCTCTTGAGATGGCACTTTATTGAAGACACGTTCACTTGGCATCAGGCGGAGACCCCCACTGCAACAGCCCCGAGTCTCCCGCGCATCTCCCCCTTTTATACCGACACGAGGCCACGCCCCCCTTCTCGAAACTTCTCGCTGGCTCTGGACGCTCGCTCCACCAGCAGACTCCACCGTCTTCTTCCCTCGCCTGACCACGCTCCCTTCTCGATCATTCCCGTAGCCACCAGTCCCTTCGCACTCACAGCTGACTCCCCTGTCATTACCTCCCGTGGCCACTGGTGCATCCATACTGCAGGCTGACTCCCCTGTCATTACCTCCCGTGGCCACCAGTTCCCTCACACCGCATGCAGGCTCCTTTGTCATTACACATGCAAAGCCCCTGTATCAGTCCGCTGCTGGACGAGGGCCTCCCCACGCCATGGGGTTCGTGATGTGGCCACGCGTCAAGTTCAAGTTCATTTATTAGGTATAGCCCTGTGAGCCATTCGGCTCTTGAATCGGGTGCAACCGCAACAAACAAAAAACAAAAACATGAACAAAAAAACTTCTTAAAGTGAATATGTGACTGAGTGCAAACAGAAAATCCAAGAAAAGACAGCAAAATATTGCAGAAAAAAACACCGTTACACACCAACGCTGTGTGCAAAAATCCCGTCACTCTGCTGGTCCGTGCGGGCCGGTGATGTCAGGGCGGATAGACCTGCTGGCACGTGGTCCAGTAAGACAGTGGACGTTGCGGCACTGCCCTCTGCTGTCGACAAACCCAGCCACACAGCACCGCTCCTCCTACTCACTTACACCAAGATACGTAAGACTTTCCCAGGTAAGTGCCACTGAGCTGTGTAGCTCTTTTTTTTTCCCAGAAGCGACCTCGCCACAAATGATAGCTCAACGAAGTGGCTTATCACCTGGACATTTATAGCCGCCAATGATTCTAAGCGTACGATTCGAAATGTGGAGGCAAAAAACCGGAGGACCCGGAGAAAAATCCTCGCGACCATGGGGAGAGAGACACCGCAAACTCATAGGGTCCGAGCAACAATCGTGACCCAAGACAGAGACCTCCTCCCTTGCCGACCTCCTTCTCCTCCTCCTCGACATGCACACAGGGTCCGACCGATACTGAAACTGATCACGCAAAGACATTCACACACACTCGCATGCGTCGAGATATTCACACAAAGACAAAGATCCCCTGTATAGCCTGAACAGACTTTTCGGGCAAGTGCTGGTAGTGATCAACCTACAAAAGACGAGTTTTGCGGTTAGCGTCATGCCCGGCCGCCTTTGTCTCCCTCGCGGCGATGTTTACACACCGCACCGTGTGCGCATTGTGAGGCTGAGGCCCAGGACCGGTTTAGATAATCGGGAATCGAACTCGAGCCACCGAGTATTGTAGCGCGGCGCGCTAACCACTGCTCCACCGACCCACCCTCCTCCACCCAACAAAGACATCCACACACACACAGATGTCTGCACGTGCCAATCGTGGCATTCACATTGGAGACAAAATTAAAATAAACTTTCAGTGGAACTGCAAGGGTGCCAACACCCACCGGCATCCTATGAGAAACTCGCCCGTCCCATCGAGTTTGAAGAGGGGATCAGAGATCCGTCAGCTTAATCATTGTCTCGAAAACCACATTTACTGTTGTCGAGAAACCCCCATCAGAGACCAGTCTGCTAGTCGTTTGCTGTGTCGTCTCCAGACCCCCATTATCGTCCTGTGTCTCGGGCGCTTCTTATTGTCTGGAGACCCCAACAGAGAACAGCACGTTACATTATTGTCCGGAAACCCCCATCGGAGACAGGTCCGACAGTCTATGCTATGCCAATATCTGTGTTTCCGATCAATATGTGAGGCACAGCAGGTAATAAACACTGATGAAGTCACACTGGAACGGTGCTTTTCATTAGCAACTTGAGTTTAACATGTAGGCGTTCGCACCTGATTGGCCCTCAAGTAACGACGTCACGTGTATCCCTCTAAGACCGAAGCAGGAGGATTTATCCACAACCCTGGCTCTCCGCCTGATGATGCTGGTTGTAATTACTGGCGAAACGTCGTACTCGAATTGTACATGTTGTGGGTTTACTCTCCAACACACAACCGGTGTGCTGAACTAGTAACGAATTGGCACGAATTGGCTGTGTCGGGTGGTGGCGGGTTTAACGACACATTCATATTTACGCGATCTAAACCCCCAAAAGCCCTCTATTATGGATTAGGCACTTGCTTGGCATTAACCCCGAAATAACAACACGTGGATATAAATAAATACATTAACATCCATGCCTAATCTAGAGACATCGTAGTGACTGTTAGGAAAAGTGGCCTTAACGGACGGCAGCCAGAGGAGAGAAACGCAACGTCGGGGGAGAACATCTCCCGCGGAGATGGGGAGGGGGGGGGCATGAAATAAATTCGTGCAGCCCAAGGGGCCAGCGTTGCATCGCAAGACCTCGAGAGGGATGACGATGCCACGGGGGAGGCCTCCATCCGGCAGTGGAGAGACGACGGGGCCGATATCATCAGAGTCTTGTCGCGAGGACTCTGCGGAGCTGAACGTCTTCAGCGAGATCAAATTTCGATTTGTCAAGGCGCTCTTCCCCCTCCAACCCAGCTTAAATATACGCTGCCAAGCCTGGCGGTGTTTCATTCAGACGCTGTCTTTCCGACAGACCTGTTCTTCACCTGAGGACGGCTGCTTGCGTTGTGGCCGAAACGTCGTGAGAATTATTTTATTATGTTTTATTTTTATTATTTACTATTTCCCTTCTACGTGATGACTTTACCGAAAGAACCAAGAAGAGAGATCAAATTTCTTCGTCCGCGTACGCCAACGCCGATCAGCCGCGTGCTCGCTCCGGGCACCTTTTGCTCGCTCGAGGCTGGCTGGCCCTCGACAAGAGTGGAATCATCAAAAGTGGAATCGAGATATAATAAAAGTCGAAACATCGCCACCCGCGGAGCCAAGGTCAGAGGAGGCTTGGTGATTGATGCTGCACCAACCACTCTCTCGCGTTATAGTGGCCCGCCCTCAATAGGCGCTCACTAACAACGATTGCACCAAAGTTCTAC